TGAATGTCAATTGACCTTTGAATACAGCTAAGATTATATTTTGTTTGGGCCTCAGACTCAGTTCCACATCAAATACTTAGGACATGTTAAAGAAAGTTAATTTTTCAGAGATAGTTAACAATGCTGGTAGAGAATAATTTTTAGATTTTAGAGTGCATCTTCCCTAAGGCGTCTTGACGTGAATTGTTGAAATGGTGAGAGCTGTCTTATCCCCTTCCACCAAGTGTATTGCAGGATGGTTAGAAGAATAGGGGAAAACTGAAAAGGAGATGCATGGAGTCCGCTCTGTAGAAATAATGAATGACAAATATGTGACAGTATTGATAATCCAGTGGATTCAAAGCAGTAGTAAACGTATGATTATTTTTGAAAGATGGGAATACCATTTGACAAAGACTGTTTCAAAAGCTAATTTAAAGCTGTGAGTTCACTTCAGTTCAATGAATGTTTACTGAGCTGACCACAGAGAAGTAATAGGAAGTTGGGAGTGGGGGCCTTCGGTAAAGTTGCTGATCACCCTTATGCTGAATAAGTTCTTCCCCAGCTGAAGAACAGTAATTACTCTTTCGAAATATAAAGGTGACCTCTTGAATTTCAGGGCCAGAAAAAATAAATGGCCAAGCAATCAGGGAGTGTTTTATAATAATCCACTTGCCAATTTAGGGTTTCATAAAACTCCACAGAAGGAAGAAAATGACCTTTGTAGATCTTTTTGCGGGGGGAGGTAACTTTATTTTTTATTTTTAAAGATCCATTTTTGTAGTTAACTTGGTTAATGTGTATTAAATGTAACTTTTGTTATCTTAAACATCTACTCCAAGCTCATGGACTTTCCTTATATAGCTTGCCTCTCTTCATAATCTGGCACAAGAATGCTTTTTAGTGCTGAGTGTTTTCTTTTTCTTCTGGTTGCTTCTCACAGCAGTACTGGCCTTTCACCTGGTTTTGTATCTTATTTTGGAAGTGGCCTTGTTCTCGGATCTTATTTTAAATGTTGGTTAGTCTAAGCCTCGCTGCAAATGGCTTTCATGTCTGTGAAAGACAGAAAAGAAGAAGTCAGCATAAATTAAAGTGAGAACAATTTCACATGGACCTAGAAACAAAATTGTTATAAAAGACAGGAGAGATTAATGCCAAGCTGCCCCTGTCTCCCACTCATGGAAGAATTTGAAGACCAGAACAGCTAAATGACTTGCTCAGGGTTATAAAATGTTGATGAAAATTTATCATTCTCCTTATTTACACAAAGGCAATATAATACCCTAGTGAGCTGTACTTTGAACATATAAAACAAATAAGCTACTCATAAGGAAGGTGAATATACCAAACTGTTTACTCTCTTTGCAAAGCCTGGATGAGGCATTACCAAGTTTTCTTCCTAATTCTCCAGGTTTATCAGTATTCAGTTACAAACATCAGTATTTTTATATCATGATAAAGGCTATGACCACATCTGGATTTGAATCTGGCCTCTACCCCTTCCTGGGTTGTGACTCTCTGACTTTGGGAAAAGCTTCTCAACTTCTCTGACCTTCCATATCTTAGCCTGAAAAATGGAGGTAACAATCCAGACTTGATTGAGTTAACTATAAAGGAGTTAACTTTGAGGTTCCTGCAGCTCGTGCCTGGCACACAAGGAGCACTTCTGATGGAGCGACCATCACTGCTACTACTGCTGCTGTCCCTGCTTTTATCATGGCATCACTGGGCAGTGGCATAGGATGTTCATTCTCAAATGATTTAGGTAATCCTCTGCTTAAAGACTAGATGCTGAATTAGGCAGTTTTGTTTTTTTTTTTTTAACGTACCTTCCAGTTCATTTTATTGTTCTATTAATTCAGAGAAAGCACCATGGTCGTCAGTTTTTACTTACCCTATTAGAATAATACTTAACTCCTGACTACCTCAGTCAGAGCCCGATCCTTATTATAATTAAAATAAAAATCTTGACCCTCTTTATTACTTTATACTAGAGAGGTTATCCTGCATTGCCAGGAAAAATTATTAACCATTGTTAAATTAAAAATCCCTATTGCTGCTCATCTTTGAGCACCCTCATAGAATTGCTATGTGAGAAGAAGATGCCCTTGTGACTTGAATTTGTAATTCTTTTTGGAAACCACTGTTTTCGCTGTAACTGGTATCTTTTTTTTTTTTTTTTAGATTTTATTTATTTGTCAGAGAGAGAGAGGGAGAGAGAGCGAGCACAGGCAGACAGAATGGCAGGCAGAGGGAGAAGCAGGCTCCCTGCCAAGCAAGGAGCCCGTTGTGGGACTCGATCCCAGGACACTGGGATCATGACCTGAGCCGAAGGCAGCTTCTTAACCAACTGAGCCACCCAGGCGTCCCTGTAACTGGTATCTTAATACAAATAATATGCCTCTTTTGAACAGCAATTTCATTGGCTTTCCTTGTATTTCAGGAAGATCACTGCCCATTTCTTGAAAGTCTCCTTCAGAGCCCTCAAAGGAGATTTCACCTATGCCCCCTAGTTTCTGTTTTTGCCCAGGAAAATCTCAATTAAAATATCCTTTGTTGTTAGTGAACATCTGTATACATAATTTTTTGTGATGCAGTCCCAGAAAAAAGTGTCTTTCATCTATGTAGATATACTATTGCCGACCTACCTAGAGATTGCATAGTCCCAGGTTAGAAACTCAGGGCCTTACAATTTTTTAATTTATTGTTTGGGACAGGCCTACATTGTTTGACCTATTTAAGGTACTAAGTAACAGCCAGAGTAAAACATCTGAGTATTTTTCTATATATTATTTGTAATGTTACTGTTGGTGAGGATGCTGTACTTTTCCAGTTTACAACTGAGGAAGCCTGTCATCATCATTAGTACTCATTCATTCAGCATGAGCACCTGTTTTATCTTAGGCACTGGAGATGTAAGTATGAATAAAACATGATTCCTGCTCTGGAAAATTTCATAGTTTACTGGGGGAGAAAGATACAGACATATGTAATTACATTTCAAAGTGATATGTTCTGTGTAATGAATATATGAACAAAATGCCATAGTCATATAGAGGAGCGAACAGTAAATTTGGAGGTGTATGGTAAGGTTACAAAGAGAAAGGAACATTTGAACCAAATCTTGAATGATAGGTGGGAATTTGCCATTTGGAGAGAGAGGAGCCAGGAATGGTCATTAGAGGCAGGGACAGCCTAACAAAGGCCAAAGGCTTCCCCTGGCAAGCTATGTGAGGGGAGTGTCTCCAGTGTAGCTAGAGAAAAGGCTTTGTGAAGGAAAGTGAGTCAAAGCTAGGAGTTTGAACTTTATCATTTGAGCAGTAGGAAATCATTGAAGACTTTTGAGTTATGGCTGATATAATCAGGCTTGAGTTTGAAAACTCCTAATAGTTTAGGGCTGGAGAAAGAAAGACAAGTGGCAGACACCAGGTAAAAAGTTGTAGTTCTCCAAGCAAGACACAAGAGTTTACACTAAGACCATATGTGTGTAGATGTAAGAAAAAAAAAAAAAAGGCAGGGGGTGTGTCTCTAAATTTGACAGCATTTTCCTAGGTGTAAACAGTATGATTTTGTGATCTGGTATGATATGGGAAGTGTGGGCAGGAGGAGATCAGATTTGGGCGATGGGGTAGAGTAACTGAAATTAATAGAACTGGAGAAAGTGAAAAAGGAAAGGAAGGATTGTTCCTTGTTTTGTTTTTTTGTCTGTTTTGGGAGCAGACAAGGGTTTTCATTTTGCATAAGGTAGGGCCAGTGTTTTCAGGAACATTCTAGCACACATGTCTGGATCTGAATCTCAGTAGAGAGGTTACCATAGTAATATTTTTGAGTTCTTACTGTTTATTTTTCCATTAAAAACTAAGGTTCTCGGAGGTTAACTGATTATGGTCTCAGGAAGGTGGCTGAAGAACCAAAACATAAGTTTCTAAGCTTCTTACCAACTAGGCCTTAACTAAAATAGCCCTTTGGGAAAAAAAAAAAAAAAAAAAAGACAAAACTCTTGATTTCCACTATAATTGCTTTACTGTTTCATTTCCCAGAGTATCTTTACTTAAAAAGACAACAAAACAAAGCCCAACTGGTGTATATATATCTATAATCTACTTTCTGTACTGTTTTCCGATTTTAATGTTTTTTGACAAATGCCAGTCAAATGAAGAGGGCTCAGGATAATAGCTGAGGAACCCCAAACCTCTTGTTTTGTTCAAAAAAAACCTTAAAATTCAAAGATTAGAGAGTCCTCAGGAAATACTCATTATTTCACATATATCTGATCTAATCCCAGTTGTTGCCCTGATTCCAAATGAGGGAAATGAGAAGTGTTGAAGAACGAAGGTGTTAGTGTCCACTTTTCGGCAGGAATTGAAAAGTAAGATTTCCCCTCACTATTTGGATTGTTGAGCCATGAGCTATTCTCTTGAACACCAGAGAATAAAGTAGACAGTTCTTCAAAATCCATCCTCACCCCCAAGTTTCAGGGGTCACCGTGTTCATTGAAACACTTGGGTGGTTGTGAAGAACTTGAGTAGGCTTCAAACAAGGCAGATCCTTGTACATATGTGACACTCTTTTTTCACATATTTAAAAAAATAATAATTAGCATCCTTTATCCACTGTAATTCTAGTTTTAACTGTTACTGTGTTGATTTCTCTGTGAAGGTCGTTGGGCTGTGGTATTTTTCCTTTACTTTGTTCTTGATTGCTGTGAAATGTAGTTGCCTGCTGCTTAAGGCAGCTGCAGTAGAGTGCACCCAGAAGTGGTTATAATTCTATATTTAGTAAGCCATAGGGTTTGTAAAGCATTTGCAGATTCCTTCTGGATAAAATGGTTTCTATATATGTAACATTTTTAATGAAACTATTATTATCACCCATTAGGGAAATATAGCAGCTAATATGTGCAGATTTGTGGACAAGACAGAGGCACAAAACTTTTTTTTCTTAAGAGTACGCTGAGTATTTTAAATACTTAAAAGTAATCATGTGAATCCTATTTTTATACTTTTAATCTTGAATTGCAGAGCTTTTACTCAAGTGTTTACCTTTGGTCCAACATTCCGAGCAGAGAATTCTCAGAGCCGGAGACACCTGGCAGAGTTTTATATGGCAGAAGCAGAGATTTCTTTTGTTGAGAGTCTTCAAGATCTCATGCAGGTAGGTACACAAGTTTTAAAACACTTTCTAAATAACAGATATCTGTGACATTAAAAGGCTTCTGTATACATTTTCATCTTGGACATCTGTGCATTGTAGGTGTTAATGGAGTGAAGAAGATGGGGAACTACTTAATTTGATAAACATCTACTGAATCCCTTTAACGTACAAGAGTCAGACAGATTTAAGTTCATATCCCAGCTCTGCCATTAATTTTGTTTTGATGTTACCAAACCGTGGTGAACTTTAGCTTGCTCAACTATAAAATAATAATTACAGTAACTATTTCATAAGGTTATCAGGAGGAGTAAATGAAATAATGTCTGTATAATGTAAAGCATCTAGTATTGGGCTTAGCATACAGCAAGCTCAGTAAGTAATAGATCTTGTTATTTGTTAGGCAAAGAAATAAAACATCTTTATAGTTAGAGAAACATCTACGTAGCTGTATTGGAAAGCATCTACAGGAACCATCAGAGCTCTATTTTGGGGGCAAGAAGGAAGTCCAGAAAGATAGTCAAGAGTCAGATCTTGAAAGAAAGACTTCGTAAATGCCATGCTAAGTAGTTGAGAAGGAAAAAGAGAGAGTTCTCAGATAGCAGAGGCCATGGTCAATTATAGTTTAGAAACACCTCTCTAGTAACAATATAAAAAATGATTCAGAGGGGGGATAAAAATGAGAGCCTTTTTAGGAGGCTGTGGCCATACTCCAGATAGAGCACATAAGCTCTGAAGATGGATGGACCAGGAACTGATTTTCAGCTCTACCACTTGCTATGAGATCTTAAACAAGGGATTTAATTTTCTGAGCCTCAGTTTCCTCACCTGTAAAATGAGAATAATTGTTCCTACTTGATAGGGTAGTTCAGAGAATTACACAGATTTTATATATAAGACACATAGACTAGTTCACGGCACTTTGTACCCAGAAATTATTGTCTGTTACTATGAATTCTCTATCTAGTACTATTAATATCTTAGTTTGGATTTGTAATCACAGGATGTTTAACAATTTTTGTCACTTCTCACTTCTATTCATTTTATATCTTTCTACTCTTATCCAGTAAATGACCCAATTCCACTTAAAACATAAATACCACATATATCATCAAACAGAATAGGCTTGCTATTTCATTATCCTATCTTGGTTGGATTTCCTAGTAAACTCTAAAGCAGAGATTTGGGGGGTGGGGGTTATTGGGGAATGCTCTAGAGAATAACATCTGTAAGGAAAGGAAGGAAGCAGCATTGGGCAGAGGGAAAGGTTGAACTACAGTGCATGTAGAGAGGCCTTAGGAAAACTTTGGAGCTGGAGTGGTCTTTCATGGTTGTCCCATAGAAAGGCAAGGGGGTGGTATACCTTTGTTTGTTCCCCGTCAAGCAGTTACCTAACATGGGCTAGCCTTGGGAAGAGGCGTACTCTTGGGTAAGATAGCACTCCTGGCCTGGCGTGTTCCTGAAGAGGGACTCAACTAGGCACCATCAGCAATTAATATTCCCAGTGGATAAAGCTCTTGGTCCTGAAGGGGTGTTTTGACTACATACAGTATCCATTTATATACGACTTTAACGTTTCCCACTGATTGTTGTAGATCAGTGTCCCCCAGGGGACGTTTTTGGTTGTCACTAGGAAGTGGATGGAGGAGAGGGGAGAGTGGTTGCTACTGGCATCCAGTGGGTAAAGGCTAGGGATGCTGTTGGACATGCTAACATGCCCAGGTCCCCCCCACTCAACAAAGAGTTACCTGGTCAAAAATGACAATAGTAACACTGTCAAGTAATTCTTTTCTAAAATATAGGGATTCAGGATCTGAGCCTCACAAGGCATCAATAAGGTTCCTTAAACGGCTTTTGGTTCCAGCCCACCACCCAATTGGGTATTACTCTCTCACTCAGGCAATGAGAGTATTGTAAGCCACAGAATCACACCCTTTACTTCCCTCTTTCTGCCTTGACCCTGTCTCTCCTGCCCTCCCCCCGTAAATACCAGAGAAAAGTTCCAAAGACATAAATTATGTTAGGTATTATTAAACATTATAATTATATATTCTATACCTAATAATTATTTTTTACTATTCTACTGAGTGCTATTCAGCATACACTGTTCAATAATTTTTAATTAATTGAAATATAAACTTTTTCTTAAAGACAGAAAAAAGTATGCTCCTCCAAAAGTAATCTTCTATTTTTCCTTATTTTCTCCTTTTATGAATTACATTCTCTGGAAATTATTATCTTTTTTTTTTAATATTTTATTTATTTATTTGACAGAGAGATCACAAGCAGGCAGAGAGGCAGGCAGAGAGAGAGGAGGAAGCAGGCTCCCCACCGAGCAGAGAGCCCGACGCGGGGCTCGATCCCAGGACCCTGAGATCATGACCTGAGCTGAAGGCAGCGGCTTAATCCACTGAGCCACCCAGGCGCCCCTGGAAATTATTATCTTGATGAAAATTTTAAATCAGAATACTGTAACAAAGGATTTTTTTCTGCTCATAAGGTATAAACGTTACTATTTTAGTGCCATTAAGTAATATATTTTTAAAAACATCTGAAGGTTATGCTAACCCTTCAGTTAAGTTTCTGTTTTCTTCAAATATATTTATAGAGCATAGTCTGAAAGTCAAGGTTAGAAAAGCCAGTGATTTTCTTCTTCAAATGGAAATTTACTGCTCATAAGAAAGACACCAATTTAACATCCCCAGTGGTCACAGTCTTCATCTTACAGATAGGTGTGTTGTGCCCCTCAACAGTGCAGGCTTAGTATCCAATCTGTTTTTGTTTGCTCCCCATATGTGTCAGTCTTTTTTTGTGATTGAGGTATATGACCCTTCATAAATCATTCAGTTGCTTAGTAACTTCTTTATCTCCCTACTCTTGGATGAAAGGTAATATAGCCTCAGGGTAAAAGATCTTTAGCCTCCTTTTGCTCTTCTTTCATCAAGTTACTCCTTACTCTTACACAAAATATATATGTAAATATAAAAATACAAAATATATAAAAAATAAATATATGAACACATATAAACACACACACACACACACGTATATGCATATATATAAATGTATCTGGTTGTTCCTTGGTAATAAGTATGTTTCTGTATCCGATCAGAGTTAGTGTGGTGGATGCTTGTGTCCTGCCCTATGTCTCCAGCCCTGATAGGGTGCACCAGGGATGCAGGAGAAAGAGGGAAGATCCTGCCTCTGGGGCAGCCTGAACTTACCGAGTGTGTCTCTCTTTCTGAGCACAACATTGGGAGAGCCTAACAGGATCTCACTGACTTCAAACCAGACATTTTAGTTTTGATTAGAAATATTTTCCATTCCAATCACCTTTTTTCTTCTGACAACAAGTTTTTTCTGTGGGATGTGTATGGATACCCCTGGTGGAATGTATTCTTACTTACTGATTTGTGTTTATCATGACTTGTGTTATTACCACTGTATGCTTTGGCAAAGCAAAAATATACATATTTAGATGTAGATCTATCACTGCTCCTGTAATTTTAAAGTCAGCTTTCATTTACCAGTAACTGAATGAAGCACTTTTCAAAGTGTCTCATTCTTCACAACAACTAATGTTTGTTGCATCCTTCTCTGAGCCAAATATTCAAAGTCTTATACATGGATTATCTCATTTAATTATCGCAGCAGTCCTGGAAGCTAGGTACTGTTACTGCCCTGATTCTACAGGTGAGTATATTGCACTTTCGAGAGGCAGCAGTCAGTTTTGGCTGTTCATTTGACAACCCATTTCTAGTATTGGAATGATTAACGGAAGAGTCATACATTTTTCTTTCCTTTTTTTAACCCACTCTGGGAAGAAATTGCACTGCCTCCCGTAAGCAGTCTGGAAAACTGAAATAACGTTCTGCAGTATATTCAGGGATTAAGAGGCCTAACGGATTTATAGCTGCTAAAACCTGGAGAACAGTCCTTACAGGACCCCTAAATAGGTTTTTCATACAAAGTGGCTCACTTGTCAGGCAACTAACTGTCTGTCATTTCTCTTAGGTTATGGAGGGACTCTTCAAGACTGCAACAATGATGGTTCTCTCAAACTGTCCTGAAGATGTTGAACTCTGTCACAAGTTCATAGCTCCTGGCCAAAAGGTAATTAGTTTTGTGGATGAAGTCTAATACATCTACTCTTTAAATATGTTAATTACATATAATAAATATAATTACATTTAACAAATTTTTTTTCTCTTTTCTTACCAAGGACAGATTAGAACATATGCTAAAAAACAACTTTTTAATGTAAGTAGATATTATACTTTCTCTGAACTTTATTCATATTTTATCATAGTATTTATCACACTATTAAAGTTTTTTGTTTATATATGTGCTTATCACAAGGAAGACCCATGTTTTAAATATTTTTGTAGCTCTTATATCTGGTTCATAGTTGATAATCAATGTTTCATGAATAAATAAATGAATAAATCTAGCAAGATAAATGAACACGGTCATTAGTAACTGAATTAATGCAGTTCAAACTAATATTAACTTTAGTAATAAAAATTTGGCTCAAGTAAAAGACTTTTATTTTGGGGCACCTGGGTGGTTCAGTCAATTAAGCTTCCGACTCTTGGTTTCAGCTCAGATCATGATCTCAGGGTTTCGAGATCAAGCCCTGCCTTGGGCTACAGGCTCAGTGCAGATTCTCCCTGTCCCTCTCCTTCCCCCCTTCCCCCCCCCTCCCTTCTCCATTCACACTGGCTCGTGTATTCACACTCTCTCTCAAATAAATAAATAAAATCTTTTTTGAAAACTTCAGTATAATTAACATAGGGCGTTATATTAGTTTGAGGTGTACAGTGTAGTGATTCAGCAATGCTATATGCTATATTCAGTGCTTATCATAATAAGTGTACTCTTAATCCCCTTCACCTGTTTCACCCATTCCCCCACTCATCTCCCCTCTGGTAACCATCTGTCTGTTATCTCTAGTTAAGAGTCTGGTTTTGGTTTGGTTTGGTTTGGTTTTTTTGCTTGTCTATTTTTTTCTTTATTTTTTAAATTCTGTGTATAAGTGAAATCATGGGGTATTTGTCTTTCTCTGACTGACTTACTTCACTTAGGGTTATGCTCCCTAGATTCATCCATGTTATTGCAAATGGCAAGATTTTGTTCTTTTTTAGGGCTGAGTAATATTTCATCATGTGTATGTACCACATCTTTACCCATTCATCTATCAGTGGACACTTGGACTGCTTCCATAGTTGGACTATTGTAAACAATGCTGCAATAAACATAGGGGTGCGTGTATTTTTTCAAATGAGTGTTTTTTTATTTTGGGGGGGAAATACCCAGGTAGTTGAATTACTAGATCACATGGTAGTTCTGTTTTTAAGTTTCTGAGGAATCTCTATACTGTTTTCCACAGTGGCTGCACCAGTTTGCATTCCTGCCAGTAGTGCATGAGGGTTCCTTCTCCACATCCTCACCAACACTTGTCATTTCTTATGTACTTGATTTTAGCCATTCTGACAGGCGTGAGATGGTATCTCATTGTAGTTTTGATTTGCATTTCCCTAATTAGTGATGTTGAGCATATTTTCATGTGTCTTTTGGATATCTGGATGTTTTATTTGGAAAAATGTCTGTTCGTGTCTTCTGCCCATTTTTAATTGGATTATTTGTTTTTCGGGCATTGAGTTGTATCAGTTCTTTGTATATTATAGATACTAACCCTTTATTGGATACGTTATTTGCAAATATCTTCTCCTGTTTTTAGTAGATTGTCTTTTAATTTTGTTGATTGGTTCCTTTGCTGTGCTGAAGCTTTTTATTTTGGTGTTGTCCCAATAGTTTTATTTTTGTTTCCCTTGCCTCAGAAGACATGTCTAAAAATGTGTAGCTCTGGCTGAGGTGAGAGAAATTACTGCCTGTTTTCTCTTCTAGGATTTTCATGGTTTTAGGTCTCACATTTAGGTTCTTAATCCACTTTGAATTTATTTTTGTATGTGGTGTAAGAATGTGATCCATTTTCATTCTTTTGCATGTAGCTGTCTAGTCTTCCCAGTACCATTTGTTGAAGATACTGTCTTTTTCCCAGCAAATATTCTTTCCTGCTTTGTCAAAGGTTAATAGTATGGTCAAAGATAATAGTATTGTATTTTTATTTCTGGGCTCTCTGTTCTATTCCATTGATCTATGTATCTCTTTTTGTATCAGTACTATACATTTTGATTACTACAGCTTTGTAGTATATCCTGAAATCTAGGATTGTGATACCTCCAGTTTTGTTCCTCTATTTCAATATTGCTTTGGTTCTTTGGGATCTTTTGTAGGATAGTTTGTTCTAGTTCTGTGAAAATGCTGTTGGTTATTTAATAGGGATTACTTTAAATCTGTAGATTGCTTTGGGTAGTATGGACACTTTAACAGTATTTTTTTCCAGTCCATAAGCTTGGAATATCTGTTTGTGTCATCTAAAAAACAAACTTCTAAAATACATACATGTAGTGTTAGCCCATCAGTTTTTCTCTGTTTCAGTCTTCTTTTTATTTACCTTCAATTGCTCATATCTGGTTATATATTCTAAACTGTTTTTTAGCCACTTTTTTAAACCTAAAGATCTGTGTTTTAAGTATAACATATGTTATTCTTTCATTTCCACTACAATCCTGTACAAGTAGTACTTGATATTGGACTGGTTATTTATTTCACTAAGCATACTAATCACATAGTCTGTTCCATTATAATAAAACAAAAACATACTTAATATGGAAAAAAAACAATACACAATCTTTTCATAAATAGTACAAACAATTTATGTAAGACTTAATATTCATGTATAGGAGGTAAATTTGATACTCAGAAGAATAGAAAATTGTTTCTAAGCATAATTTGATGTCATTCTCCACTTACTGTCATTAGGTTTAGGAAGTTTTTGTTCTAAGAGAACAAAGAATTCGACCTGTCCTGGAGAAGGGTAATAAGAAAAAGTTGGCAGACCTCACTGAGCTGAGAGTTTCAGGTATCAGTGTAGACCTTGAGACTTCAAGTTAAAAGTGGTGAGTCCTCGAGCCTGAATGAACAGCAAGGCAACAGATGTGAGATCAGAAAAAGAGGAAATAGGAGGCCCCTGATAGAGAATCGAAAGGCAGTGAAGTACAACTGAAGGCTTTTGAGGTTTTTTTTTTTCTTTCACTGTAGTGTATATTGAGTATGTTAACTAACCAGAATTTAAATAAAAACTTGGAAAAAGAAAAGAGTGTCTATTGAATATTCACAATGTGCCAAACTTGTTCTAGAATCTGAACAAACTGTCTAAAAGCAGTGAAAATAGCAGACAAAAAGTCCCTGTCTTCATTGAGCTTACATTTCTGGGGGTAGTAATAAGAAACAAGAAATAAGAATAATAGTGAAATCTATAGTCTGTGAGAATGAGTTATAGTAAGGGGGAAGAAACCCAGAGAAGGGAAAGATGAGAAGACAAAAGAGTAAGGAGGTATAAGTTTTAGATAACGTAACAGAGACCATCTCACTGGGATGATTTTTGAGTAAAAATTTAAAGAAAGTGAGAGAACTAGCTATATGGATGTGTGGGAAAAGAATATTTTCAGCAGAGGGAATGGCAAGTACAAAGGCTTCTAGGTTGGAGCATGCCTGGTATATTCAAATAGTGGGGTGGGTAAGGGAAAAGGATAATAGAAGATAAAGAAAGGAGGTGAGAGGTGGGAAAACATGTAGGGCCTTGTAGGTCACTGTGAAGAGTTGGTTTTCTCTTGAGTGATGTGGGGAAGCCATGGAAGGGTTCTATACAGAGGACTGATAAGAGCTGAATTGGATTTAACAGGATCGCTCTGGCTGCTAGTTGAGAACAGGCTTTAGAGTGAGAGCAGAAAACCAACAGGAGATTATTACAGTCATCTGGGTGAGAATAAATGATGGTTTGGACCGTGTATTAGATTCATACAGAGAGACAAAACCAACATGATGTATATAAAGAGAAAGATTTATTTTTAAGGAACCATCTCACACAATGTAGAAGCTTGTTGAGTTCAAAATTTGATGGAGTAGTTCAGCAGGCTAGAGACTCAGGGAAGTGTTAGCAGCTGGAGTCTGAAGGCATTCGGCTGGCAGAATTCCCTCTTTCTTGGCCAGTCTTTGTCCTCTTAAGGCCTCCAACTAATTGGACATGGCCCACTCACATTATGGAGGGTAACGTGCTTTACTCAGAGTTCACTGATTTAAATGTTAATCTCATCCAGAAATACCTTCACAGAAACATCCTGAATGTTTGACCAAGTGTCTGGGTACCATAGCCCCGCCAAGTTGACACATAAAATTAACTATCATAGGCCAGGATGGTGTTAGTAGAGATACAGAGAAGTTATTCTATTCTAGATACATTTTCAAGATAGAACAAACAGTATTTGTGGAGAATGGGAAAGAGGGAGAAGTCAAGTGTGACTTCAAGTCTTTTGTCTTATACAGCTGTAAAAATGGAGTTGCCATTAACTGAAATTGGGAAAGCCATTAGAGTAGCAAGGGGTTTGGGGGGAAATGGGGGTGGTATCAGGATCATTATCATCATGTATCATGTTAAGATCGAGATGGTTTTCAGACATCCAGTTGTAGATGTTGGGTAGGCAGTACAGATCTGGAGTTTACAGAAGAGCTCTGGACATTGCGTATTGATAAAAGTACTAAGTAAGCAGGGAAGGAAAGAATTAATTTGGGCATCCTAAGGAATCTGTGCTGGTGACAGAAAACCAGGGAGAATGTCTTAAGTGAAGCTAGTGAATAAGATCTAAGATTGGAAAAAAATATCTACCATTTATTGAATATTTGCTGTGTGCCAGAAGTGATAAACTTTACGTACATAAATGTAAAAAAAAGTTCCTTGTATCTTCACAACTCTGTGAGTAGTTATTACTGCTCTTCTGTGGATGAAGAATCAATTCAAAGAGATTAAGCAAGTAAAAGATGAAATGGGAATTCAAACTCATTTAACCTAATTTCAAAGCTCATGCTTTCGGCCACTCACTACACTTCGAAAGGGCACTGGAATTAATGCTAGAGTAGGTGTAGCTCTTCACCGTCCTTATGACCCTCACATATCACTTGTGCTTTGGAGTCCAGGTCTATAAAATACTGAGGTGGGGAAGTGACCTCATGGGCTGTGCCACACCAGTCATTGCCAGCAGCATCATCCATTCCACATCGTAAACCGTAGCTGTGGTTTAAATGTATACCTGTGATGATTTGTTTAGTATTGTCACCTCCATGTGGTCAGAGACTTGTTTATTTTGTTTACTGTTACACCCCCAGTGCTTAGTGCCTCTAACAGGAGCTCAGTAAATATTTATTGAATAACTGAATGAATGAGTAAATGACATTTGAGTAGCCATGAGAGTGAGAGTGTTCTCCTTTAGGCTAGGTCCTCTCCCTGAGGTTTCCTGGTAACCCCTATCACTGTTTACTTTGGTCACTAAGTGTAGTGAGCTATGACTCAGAGGATCTGGATTCTAATTCTGGCTATACTTCTTATCCGCTCTTAATGAATATGTTAGCACTTTCCAGCAAATATTTACTGACTCTCTACTATGAGTTAGGCATTGTGCTATTCATTGATGATCCATAATATAAGCATGGATTGGTCCTTTTATGGAATTTAAGATCTAGAGAAAAAGATGAATAGTTAACTGTTTGCATGAAAGATTATTTAATCACAACTGTGAACTTGATGAATAGTGAATCTTTAACCTTTCTGAACTTGAGTTTCCTCATCTATAAAGTTATAACTTGTCTGTCATATCATTTGTAAGGATCAGTTGGCCATACTGCTTAAGCAATGTGCCAGACTACGTAACTTAACACTCCTGCTATAAAACATCTAAAAATGCTTGTTAAAAATTATAAAAATCCGGGGCGCCCGGGTGGCTCAGGTCCTGATCCCAGGGCCCTAGGATGGAGCCCTACATCAGGCTCCCTGCTCAGCCGGAGGCCTGCTTTGCCCTCTCCCACTCCCTCTGCTTGTGTTCCCTCTCTCGCTGTCTGTCTCAAATAAATAAATAAAATCTTTTTTAAAAATTATAAAAATCCTTTTAAATACTTTGTTGAGTTCACTAGAAAGTAAGAGAAGTTCCAGGACCTACAGATGAAGAGGGAACTGAGCACCAGAGGGGAACACATAAATAGCATGACACTGAGGTTTCTCAAGGTGGAGGGTATGGTAGATGGTGGAGGGCCCCTGGTGGGGGAGGGGGAGTTGCCTGTCTTTGAAGCCAGAGATTTTAACAGCCATAAGAGGACGTGAAAGTAGACCTAAAGTTGATGAATTAGAATCGAGATATTCCCCAAAAGTACACACATGCATACCTGTGCACACACATGCACACACACATACAGAAGATACTGTGTGACTTATATTCCTTTGCATAAATAGATTCCATTGTATTCTTGACTACTTAAAATTGTTTTATATGAAAGTAAATAATTTCAAGGACTTGTACAATAATTGAATTTAGCCCTTACCAAGCAGAAATAGAATTCAATTATTTTTTATGTCTCCTTTATAGCATTAAGGTTTTTAAAATATAGAGTACTTACCGTTTTTTGCTCTTCATTTATCTGTGAATTTCAGTCAAAGAATGGTAATTTTAGCCTAGCAATTATAACCCAACAGATTGAGAATGGTTTTCTTAAACCCTAACAAAAATTTAAACATAAGGGAAGTTTGATCCTGCATCATGTAGTATCCCTGTATCTCCTCCTCCCATCCTCAAAGTACTTTAGAAATAGCTTCTGAGAAGAGATATTATTCTCTGTACATATCAAAAAATTAGGAAAGAGAGTTGTTAAAAGCCATTAAGGATATCCAGTGTCAGAGCTATAATTTGATCTGAGAAGCTCTGCCTCGGGTTAAGGTATGGGAGGAGTAGGGCAGAAGATCCAGAATAACAAGAAATACACAGAAAGTCATTTTTTAAAATAATGTAGCAGTAAGATATCAATGGCACAAAATCTCGGTGCCTTCTCTTCTTTGACTGCTCTTATATTTCTCAGTATAAGGAGTAGATCATATCCACTAAGTGATGGAATAGAACGATGGAATATCTAAAGAACTGTAGACAATCTAGTCCAATCTCCTTATTTTACGAGTACAAATACTTAATTTTTTTAATGGTTGTATAGAATATTCCAGAAAGGTATAAAACGCTTTCATTAAGGTGAAGTGATTTACGTACTAGCCATTTAGGGGTAGAGGCAGAGGGAGAACTCCAAGCCCATTGTTTTTGTTTTGATTGAGCCTATTAAACTCCAAGTGTTATAGGCATTATCTCAGTAGTTAAAAGCTTCAGCTTTGAAGTCACATCAGGTTTACCACTTACTTACATGAATAATTTTGGCCACGTTACTGTCCCCTCTAACCTCCCTTTTCCCTTCTGTAAAACGTTTTAAAAATGACTAGTACCACCAACACCACTATCATTCTTGCCTTAGAAATATTTACTTAATAGTAGATTTAGATTTGAGTAAGATTTTCATCTTGGAAAAAAATTGCTCAAAACATAGCTTTGAAGGCTTCATTTGTGCTATATACACAACTCCTTCCAAACGGTTATTATAGGTATGAATTTAATTTTTCCTTCGAAGAGTAAGTTTATGTTGGGCAACTTATTTTTTGAGTTTAAAGTCCTTCAGAAAGTTTGTAGGTTTGGGGGTTTTGTTTGTTTTGTTTTTGGGGGATTTTTGAGGGCAGGGTTTTTTGGATGTTCTACTGTGGATTTTTGTTTTTAAGCATGCAGAGTACTGTTTCGGGACACCTGGGTGACTCATTTGGTTAAGTATCTCCCTTCCCAGGGTTCTGGGATCAAGCCCTGTGTTGGGCTCCCTGCTCAGCAGGGAGTCTGCTTCTCCCTCTACCCCCCCAACTCATGCTCTCTCTTGCTGTAATAAATTCTTAAAAAAAAATGTTCAAAGTACTGTTGCAAAGGGCATAGGGAAACTGACATTTTCGTATACTACAGGTGGGCATAAATTGGTATAACACTATAAAAGGGAAGCAGTATCTTTGGCAATATCAAAATACCTAAAAACTATAAATATAAATACAATGATCCAGCAATTCCATTTTTTCCATATACAAAATCAATATTTAAGAATCATTTGTGACAGATGTATGTAGTCATGGTTTATAATAGCAAAATATTAGAAACAGCTTAAATATCCATCAGTAGATGAGTGAGTAAATTAATGAGTATACAGCCACAAAATGGACTTTTATGTAATAGTTCAAAAAAATGAAGAAGCTCTTTCTTTATATACTGATATGGAAAGATCTACAAGGTATATTATTGAGTCAAGAAAGATGGAAAAGAGTGTATATGGCATGTATACTATGGCTGCCATCTATTTAACAAAGGAGATTGTATATTACTACTTGCTTATAGATGTAAAAAACCCTCTGGAAGGATACACAAAAATCCAGTGACAGTGATTTTATGTGAGGAGAGGAGCTACATGGCTGTGGGACAGGGTGGATGGAAGATGTACACTCTTAGACGTTGTTTGTTTCTTAACTGTGTTCATGTAATTACCTATTCAGTTTAATTAAAACAAATGCTTGGCTTAGCTTGCTTTAGACATGATAGTTTCTTACTGAGATAATCCATGATATTTTTCCTAAACAGTCTTACCATGCTTAGCATATATTACAAAGCCCCAGCCATGGCCTGAAAGAATCCATAAGATCTGACCTTTACCTAGCATTCTTCCCCTGTTCAGTATGCCACAGGCACATTGACTATTTTGTTCCTGGAATGAACCAAACTGTTCCTTCACTTCAGGCCTTTGTACTTACTGTTCCTTTTGCCTAGAATACTTACCCTCAGATATTTTTCTTACTTCAGATGTCCCCAACTCAGTTCTTTATTGACCATCTTATCTAAAATAACACCCCTAAACACCCTCTGTCTTCTTAGCTTGCTTTATTTTTCTTATAGCGCCAATGGTTTCCAGCATTATATGCTTTCTGTTTACTTGTTTATCTCTGCCCCCCACCAACTCCCATTACTCAGCGCGCAAGTATCACCTCCATAAAGGCTTTGTTTTTATTTACTGTCTCTCCAGTGCCAAGAATAATGCCTAGCACATAATAGGTGCACAATAAATGCGTATTGAGTGAATGAATGATGACTTTAAGGAAAGACGTTTGCTCTTTCAGCCTCAATATTTCACCCCTTTTATTAGGGCATTGACATAACATGAATTCAGAGAAAATCTTTCCTTGCCTAAGTGACTGGTTCTTCTGTATATACTGCAGGTAGATCAGAAACGGGATTACTGAAAGGCCACTTCTCTTCATTCTGCTCAGACTCTCGTATGATTAGATCAGCCTTAATTCCTGATTACTCAGTGATGATTTATTTATAATCATTCCTGATTACTCAATAATCATTTAGTACTGATTTGTGACCTCAAAGACTGTATGGGAATAGGCCTTTTACAATTTTTCCGATGGACTGATTAGCAATATACAATGTATTAACCTTTCTCTGCTTTTACCCTGTTCTTTTCCAGCATTTCTTACACTGAAGCAATAGAGATCTTAAAGCAGGCATCTCAGAACTTCACCTTCACCCCAGAGGTAATATTTATATTTATATTTATATTCATATTTATATTCATATTTATATTTGTATTTTACCCCCTCTTGTCCTTATCACATTTCATTAAGAATCCTGGGGCACCTAGCTGGCTCATTTAGTAGACCATGCAACTCTTGGCCTCAGAGTTGTGAGTTCAAGCCCCAAGTTGGACGTAGAGCTTACTTTAAAAAAAAAAAAAAAAAAAAAAAGAATCCTTTAAAATAATCTTATTTCTCTAGGGCACCTAGGTGGCACAGTCGGTTAAGCATGTGACTCTTGGTTTTTGGCTCAAGTCATGATCTCAGCATCCTGAGATTGAGCCCAGCATCAGGCTCTGTGCTCAGCACAGAGTCTGCTTGTCCCTCTCCCTCTGCTCCTCCCCCCAACGCTCGCTCGCTCACTCTCTCTCTCTCTCTCTTTCACTCTGGAATTAAAAAATAAAATGTTTAAAAATAAATAAATAAATAAATAATCTTATTTTTCTTATTAACACTGTTTAGTATTTGCCCATCTTTAAATTGGCTTTTTTTGATGTTTGCTTAACCTTGTTAAAATATTTAGAATAAATAATAATTTTGAAGTAGAATATCGATTTTAATAGTAATGGTTAAAGAATTGTAAAGAAGTTTCCTGAGTTTTTGATGAAAATCCTTGAAAAGAATGGTAATGTGTCCAAAGAGGCCACATGATTTATCAGTGGACATGTGTATAATATTAAAGGCAAGTCTCCTCATTCCTATGCCAGGGCTTCTTTCCTATAATTAACATATTGGCAGACAAGTAGGAATTATATAATGTTAGGAATGTACTGTAATAACTTTGTCTTCAAACTGTTCCCTACACCAGTCCTATCCCCACTTAAGTCAGATCCTCTTATGAGGTGTAATAGTTGTGCTTGTTATAATTAGTTATTTTGTTTATGTAATTTTTTATTTGTTTTTTATCTCCTACCCTGGAAGCTTCATGAAGTCAGGAATTCTGATTTTCTTACCACTGTGCTCAGTACCTAGCATGGTACTGGCATTTAATAGGCACATTAGTATTTGTTGAATAAGTAGATGAACAGTATTATTAAATATTCATCAGAGCATCTGATATATGAATTGACTCTTTTATTAAAAAAAATTCACTGAAAGAAGCCATCTAGCCAGAGATAGACTCAATATTAAGAATATTATCTTTCATCATTTAATTTCCTGCAACCTCAGAACAGTAACCATAGAAGAAGCTTTAGGCAATATTAATAAAAACTATGACTTTGAAGTCAGTTTTTACACACTGTGGGAAGGGTACTTTGTTTTCCTGCAGATACTGTTCATCTGCTAAATGCTGCTCCTCAAGATGGGGAGAGAAAGCACAGCATTTATCTACTTGGTTCGGCTTTCATCTTTCCAAGGCCTTTGGCTATTTTTGTAACACACCTCCCTGGCTGAGTTATCTGTGTAGCCTCAGCAGACGGCTCCACACATCACTGATCCTCAGAGGAGACCCTTGGAACCGATACAGGTTATTTTCGGGTACCACATTGTGTATCTCAGCTCTGTCTTCTCCTTTGATAATTTCTTCTTTCTCATTACAGTGGGGTGTCGATCTACACACCGAACATGAGAAGTACCTGGTGAAGCACTGTGGCAGCATACCAGTTTTTGTCATTAATTATCCATTAGCACTCAAGCCTTTCTACATGAGGGATAATGAAGATGGGCCTCAGCACACAGTAAGAAAAAGCACTAAATAAATCGGGGTTGGTCGTCTCAGAGTCTGGGTTTTTCCCTTGATTTAATTTCATTTATCCTTTGGCATATGTTTAAGAATTATATCTGTCACACTTGACGTCTCTTAAAATTTCTCCAAGGTACCTCTGAAAAAGTGTTCCCAAAGAAGATCCCAATGTTCTTGAAGCATACTTGTTATTTCTGTCACATGCTGTCCTTCTTCATTTAGCAGATGCACATGTAAATGTGTTTTGTTTTCTTTGGTTTTTTGTTTAGTTTTGTTTTTTAGGGAACCATTCTGTGTTATATTTATTGATATTTCAATTACATATGATATTTGTCACTGCCTTTGACACTCTAATTAGGAGTGTCAACAAAACTTTTTTTTTTTTAATTTTAAATAATTGGGAGGAGGTAGCCCAGAAAACTGTTTAATAGTGCCAGGTCTGCTGTCAGCTGAAATACTGGTAAAGAGACGGAGGGATGGGGTGATGGGGGGCAAGAAAAGAGAGCAGTGGTGTGAGCAGGCAGAGGAAGAGCTAGCCCTCAGAGCAGGAGGCTCAGAGTTTTTGGTTTGGTTGTCACACAGAAATTGGGAGGGGAGAGGATGGAGGGATCTGAGAGGTCTAGGCAGATTCTCCTGTCACTTCTCTTCTGCCTGTCTTGTCTCTGTCTCTCTTTCTGCTCTCTACTCTCTCATACTCTTTCCTTTTTTTACCCTTAGTTTTGATTGCTTTATTATTCTAGTTGGCTTTTTCCTTTTTTTCTTCTTTTGTCTCTTCTTCCCTCTCTAACAAAATTAGCAGTAATATAAAATAAGAATATATTTGAATCTTTAAATACTTATTGAATAGTTATATACTTAATATCATTAATTGTAAAAGTCTGTGAGATGTTATGTTTATCTCACAAAAGACCCAAAAAACTAAACTTTGCTCTCTGATGCTCTTCACTTGTCTCTAGGTAAATACCAGTAGAAAAATGTAGATCAGGGCCCAGGGGTAAATAATCAGTATTATCTATCAATCAGTAGATTCCTATCAGGCAAACACTACCATCTCATCTCTAAGTCCCAGAACAACCTTTCCAAGAAACTTACTATTTCTCCCATTTTACAGATGAGAAGCAAGGGTTCAGGGACACAGATTGCACTTGCCAAGCTTCGTAGGTAGTGAATGACCGAGTTTGTGATCCGACCTGACTCCCTTTGGTTCTGAAGACAGTGCTCTTCCGCCTCCAAGCCATAAATATAAAGTTACATTGATTTCGCTTTCACACAGTATCATCCAAAACCATTGAGCAGCACAGTTGATTTATGATTCATATTTTCTCTTTTCCCTACCAACCCTCTGGTATAATTGATTATGAGAAAGGAATTGGCCCATAGGTTGGCAGCAAAAAAAGGAGACTAGGGCATAGATTCTCCAATCCTAAATAATTCAGTATTGAGTCTCTATCACCAAACAGGACTGCATCTGTATCTCTTGGCTTTTTTATCACTCCACCCCATCCTATTTGTACCTCCCGACCCCCACGACACACACACACACACACACACACACACACACACACACACTCCATGTAGTCTTTGCATGTAATTTCCCAACATTCATCACTTTTCAGTCATTCAGTTTTGCACTTCGTAAATACTCTGCTTAAAGCTCTCCTTTCTATTCTCATAATGTTGTATGGTGACAGATGGTAACTATATTTATTGTGGTGAGCCTTGAGTGATGTATAGAATTATTGGGTCACGGGGCCCCTGGGTGGCTCACCTGGTTACGCACGGCCTTCAGCTCAGGTCATGATCCCAGGGTCCTGGGATCCAGCCCCGAATTAGGCTCCCTGCTCAGCGGGGTTTCTGCTTCTCCCTTCCCTCTGCCTGCCCCTCTGCCTACTTGTGCTCTCTCACTCACTCTGACAAATAAAGTCTTAAAAAAAAAAAAGAAAGAAAGAGGGGCGCCTGTGTGGCTCAGTGGGTTAAGCCTCTGCCTTCGGCTCAGGTCATGATCCCAGGGTCCTGGGATTGAGCCCCACATCTCTCTGCACAGCCAGGAGACTTCTTCCCCCACTCTCTCTGCCTGCCTCTCTGCCTACTTGTGATCTCTCTCTGTCAAATAAATAAATAAAAATCTTAAAAAAAAAAAAAAAAAGAATTGCTGAGTCACTGTGTTGTACACCTGAAATTAATAAAACATTGTGTCAACTACAGTAGTTCAAAAATTAATTCACTGAAAATGTTTTAATTGAAAACTTTGCCTCACTGTTGACTTTTCTTAGTTACCAGCTCACCCTGAGTCTTCCTTTTCTGGGTTCCTATACCATTTAAAAAATCAGTAATACTGGTAGCATTGTTTCTACTTTTTGTACTCTGTAGGTTTTGCTTTCTCAGATGAACCCCTTAGCTTGTTCAGTATGGGAATGAGTGTTTTATAGCCACCATGTCTTCTTTTGCTCATTCCTCATTCCCTCTACTGTGACTTCCACCCCTGTCGTTGTACCACTGAAGCCCCTCTTTCTAGGGTCAGTAATAATTTGTCACATTATTAAATCCAGCAGACTTTGTTTACTTCCCCTCTCAGCATTACTCAGCCCTATGAATGACTTTCTTATTCTGAAAATTGTCTCCTCCCCCGGCTCCCGTGACATCGTGTTCTCCTCCATTCTCTGGGGTGGCTCTTTCTCAATCTCCTAGGTAGGCCCATCCTCTTCTACTACTCCAGTAGTTGATAGGATTCCTCAAGGCTCTGTCGTAGGTCTTTTCTCTCTCGGGGGATTTCATATGTGTATTCATAGCTTACTGTTTATTTTCAGACAACTCAGACAGTCACATCTCTATTCCTTACTTCTGCTCGGGGCTCTTATTGCTGTTTATATATCTCAGAGGCATCTCAGCATAATCTAAAACCGAACCCACCGATGATTTCTATTCTTCTCCAGTTCCCCCACCAAAATTGATGTTCTTTAAATGTTCCTGTCCATCTAATTGTACAAGCCATATACTAGAGTCATATTCCTCACTCCCTATATCCAAGCTGTTATTACGTTGTCGTTTTTATGCTTTGAAATAAATCTCAAATCCATCTACTCTCTTCGTTTCCACTTTTACCTTCTTGGATTAAGATACCATCATATCTTGGCTGGATTATTTCTGTAGCCTCCTGACTGGTCCTCCTGCATCTGCTCTTACCTCCTCTGAATCAGTTCTCCCCACTTCAGTGTAAGCTTTTAGAAAATGTAGATCTCTTCCTGTTATTTCCCCTTTCAAAACCATTCAGTGGCCTCCCATTGCTTTTAGTATCCAAGTCAGAATCCTTTCTCTGGCTTCTAGGCCCCAGTGTCATCTGGCTGCTTGTCTCTCTTGCTTCATGCACCATGCTGCTCCCCTTTGCTGTCTCTGCTCCATTCATATCACCCTTCCAGGTCTTCAGACATGCACTGCTTTCTCTCACCACGGTATCTTTGGACATTGTGTTCCTTCAGTTTAGAACAATTTTCTTCACCTAAGTAATTTTACTATTTCTCCAAATCTCTACTCGGTCATCACTTCCCCAGAGAAACCTTTTGTGACCCTCTAGGCTGAGTCAGAGAACCCTGTTAGACGCTAAAATGTTACCATGTTAAATTTCAGACCAAGACCTACTAAGTCATGATCCATTGTAATCCTTAACACAGTTGTAATTTTACATTTTTTTTTTTTTTATCATGAAAAAACTGTATTTAGATTTAGCCAGCTGGACTCAGTTTAGATGATCCCAATTTTGTTGGCAACATCCAAAGCATCATAGTCAGGGGCCAGCCGAACGTATGCCTTCTTCTCTCCATCAGGCCTGATTAAGGTGTTGACCTTGGCTACATCAATGTCATAGAGCTTCTTCACAGCCTGTTTGATCTGATGCTTGTTGGCCTTGACATCCACAATGAACACAAGTGTGTTGTTGTCTTCTATTTTCTTCATGGCTGACTCAGTAGTCAGGGGGAACTTGATGATGGCATAGTGATCAAGCTTGTTTCTCCTGGGGGCGCTCTTTCGAGGGTATTTGGGCTGCCTTCGGAGACGCAGTCTTGGGTCGTCGGAACGTAGGTGATGTGCGGATCTTCTTTTTTTTGTGACTGTGGACGCCTTTCAGCACCGCTTTCTTGGCCTTCAAAGCCTTTGCTTTGGCTTCGGCTTTGGGAGGGGCAAGGGCTTCCTTCTTAGCTTTCGGCGCCATCTTCGTAAAAGCTACATTATTTTTATGACTGTTTAATTAATGACTCTCCTCTTTGCCACTGGACTTGAGGACCTCCTTTTCACACATCATGGTATCCTAGCATAATGCCTGGAACATAGCAGGCACCTAATATCTATTTGGTGATAGGGGATTGAACAGATGGATGAATCGAACCCAACACATTTGTAGACACACAATGGACAAGTATTTAGTGAGTGACTCAATTTGCTAAGGAATTTCAAGGAAGCTAAAGAACAGCTTTTATTCTAAATTTTTTGAATGATGGTAACATAGTATAAAGGAAAGTCCAGTGGCTTTAGAATCAGACACTCTTGGGTTCAAGTCCCAGGTCTGTGTGGTATAGACCACGTGATCTTAAATAAACTACCTAATTTCTTTGAGTCTTAGTTTCCCAATCCATAAAAACAAGATGATAATCTTAGTCCACAGTTGTGAGGATTAAATTAGACAATATGTGAAAAATATATAGCACAGTGTTTGGGGTGATGTGTAGTCAATAAGCTTAAAGCCTTCTTTCCTTCTAAATTTTGATAAAATCATTATTGTGATAAAGCATGATAACGTTAAAATATGTGTGTTGCAACATCAAACATGCTATTACACAAGATTATTTAAAAGGCAATTCTTCCATAGACTGCAGTCACAAACATTTTTTACCTTTAGAAGTAGCAGGAGGCCTTTATTGTGACAGACTCTCTAGTAATATGGTCTCACAGCTTGAAAGTTGAAAGCATTATAATGATACTTTAGAGTACTTATGTAATTTA